TCCGGGGTTCAGGGACGAGAGGGAGGCGAACGCAGGAGAGAGGGATGCTGGGGCGGTTCAAGCGAGATCGAGTTCACAGCAAGTGGAGTACGGCAGTTTGTGTCAGACCACGGAGCACCGAAGATGCTCCCTTCGGTTGTTCGCGGTACGGGTGGACCGCCCTCGTTGCGTCGGTGGCGTCGCGTGAGCATTTTTCACGGTGCCGTGTCTACCATCTTCGGGAACGCGAGTATCGACACCAACTGTCTGCGGAACACCAATCCAACGTCCACTGCCACCTTAATGACGACTGCCTTGTGCGTGTTGCTGATCCTCTTGCCCGCCGCCTATCCTGAAAAGATCTCCATCGGTGAGTGTGGACGCTTGCCGTTGTCTCCCTTGCTCGCCGATCTTACTCGCGGACTCGCGCGGAGCGAAGCGAGCGAAACCATCGAGCGAAGCGCATCAAGCGTCTAGCGGCGCGGCTGGCTGGCTGGCTGGCTGGCTGGTTGGCTAGCTAGCTGGCTGAGCCACCCATCCACTGGTTATGGAGGGTTGTTGCACTCGGCTCGTAGGCTGACTGTTTACGGTGAACGGAAGTAAATACGCAGTTGTGCAGTTGCGTGTATCACCGATGCATGATGCGGACCGTTCGCGATCTTCTTTGACGCGAAACGGGACCGAGATTGTGAGGCACAATGGTCGCGTATTAAGAGGTTTTTCAGGTGTGCAGAACGGTGTTGGGTCGCTCGTGCGGAGAGAAGATTCTCGTCTGGTCTGTCGGGGAATGTGCTATCGTCCTCCATGGGATTTTATACGTAAATACGGGAGCGTGAATGATATTGGGTGGAACTGAAATATTTTTGTTGTTGCTACGGCAATATTAGATTGATGTATATACAGTCTTCGATGTGTATATTCATCAGTCCTGCTGTATTTTTATGATTGGAAAATAACGGTAGGAGACTATTGTTTGTAAACTACCGTTTGTTGTAACAATAATATATTGAAGCTGTACGTTTTCTAACAGGTACTGATTAATTTAGAAGTTAGTTATTGGGAAGGTTGCAGCAAAGAGGGAAATGTTCTCCATTTTGAAAATTGGTTCTAAGAATTCAAATCTTCGTAATAGTGACATATGTGTTACGTGCTGTAGTTTGTGAGCATTTAAAACTCTGTTACTCGATATGTTAGAGAACCTTGAATCAAAATGCTCATGCCGTACAAAAACGTATTTTGGCTATGTTGCGTGAACATGATTAGAAGGAGGATAAATTTTTCTTAATTTAAGCTTGCGATAATTATGAAAGTTTTTATAAACGAATTCTACACGTTCAGGGTGCTTCATGAATAATAGTAACTTTCCATTTCAAAACTACGTCACTGCGAATTGGAATAATGCATCATGCCAGTGCATACGAAATATCCTTTTCGTGAAATGTAAATTTTCATTATGATATTGAATTAATAATAACCACAGGCTATATCATAGAGGAAGGAATCTCCTGTACACTTTGCGCACTGGTTACTCGCAGAGAATTTCATTCCATTAACGCTTCGTGAATTTATATTAGAGATAACTGGAAATACTAGTGCCACTGTTGTTTGTGAAATCAAATCCACGGTCATGGTGCCGCAAAAGTGTCACAAAAATGGATTCACCGCACGCGAAATAGACGTCCTCCCATAATATAACGAAAATATTGTTAATATGAAAATATGGTGGTTAGTGTGGACAGCGCATTTATGTTATGCGCAAGTTCTGATTAATCAAAATACGTTTGTAAGTGAAAAATGCGTTTGATTTAACAAATTGATATTGAAAACCTGAAAAATAATCTGTGACTATTGTAGTGATATCAGTTGATCAAAGCATCATTGTTCACGTTTTTAACTGAAATAACAGCATACGAAAAAACATTCATTATTCATTCACTTATACAATGAATTTGATCCTTTGAAGAGCACATATCTATACATATCGCGGTTTCAGTACGTTATTAATCAAATAACGAGGATCCATACATTTCTTTCAGTAAAAATATTTTCAATACTTTGATGAGATCATTTTTCGAATGACAACATCTGTATGATCTGAAAAGTAATAAACACGTTGTTTTTCTCTTTAAGTAAATTTTTCCTGAAATAAAATACATTTGAACTTCTATATTAGTAATCAAAAGGTTTATGCTTATTCATTCATTGTAATATTTCCGCATTTATTATTTTCAAAGCACAAATTGAAGTGAAAGTATTCAAATGGTGGACATCCGGAGCTATCTTGTCAAATTTTTCAAGATAATAAATTGTGTCAGAAAATATAAAAATTGACAGATGTTCTGTTCCTAACATTAGAGTTGTCTAATATTATGCTCGGTATTAACTGTAAAAGCGGCTGATTGGCGTCAATCCTTATGATTGTAAATTCAAATAGCACAAACAATAAATTAAAACGCTATTCGAAGAACCAGTTCAACAAACACAAATGATTCGACTTAATCATTAAAAGCTATCATTAAAGGAAATCATGTTAATGTGGTCACTGATGAATTTACAGCCAAGTACGCGAGCGTACTGATGTTTATAGCAATGTTATTACAGGTGATTGTCTAAATAAATGCTCAAAAAATTAGTGTTGGAAGTTGTAACGTTTTTTAATAATATTGAAACAAAGGTCACGCAAAAGGAAATTTCACTCATTTTAACACTTTGACCGTCATGTCACTAATAGAGGTGACATAACTTTTTATACAGATATATAAAATTAATTCCCTGGGTGACATATCGAACACTTTTTTAGATTTATGACATGTAAGAAGGTTAAAAGAACAATCGTTGCGAGCAAAAAATCTTGACATTTCAGTCTATTTTGTCAACACATAACCTGCCAGTGTTTGAGCGGCAATATTTTACGAATTAGCAGAAAGAGGAGATAAACTATGAATTCTGCTAATATATGATCTTTCCTGGAAAAATATATAAATTCATTAAGACATTGATAATTGTTATAGTTAATAACTTGGAAATGACTTTAATCCACGATAAAGTTGCTTTGATTGTATAAATAATTTAACGAGTGCTGATTTGGTGGTTAATGTGTTAACATTAAACATACAGCAATCGGTCAAATGACCAGTTTTCAAATTTTTGTTTCTCTTTTCACTAAGAAAAATTTATCGTTTAATTTATTTACTTTGATCTTATAACCAATTATTTGGTTGGTCATGGTAGGGATAGGTATATAAAATATCGGTATGTTTTGTGTTAACATGTTTTCGACCAGTCACGAGTGAACTACCGTTTGCACTTGCATTAGCTATTTCGATTTTTGAAACGCAAGGCAGTATAAAATACTATAAGAAGAAAATATTCAAAGTTATCTAAAAGATATGTAGAAACCTTCATTTCAGTTCATTTTGTATAAATAAAGTATGCTGAAGTTCATTTAGATTTCATTTTCATATTCAATTACGGAATAATAACCGGTGATAAGGAATAACTTCTGCGTAAAGTCGCCGGTCAACAATATGTTAAGAGATAAAAGGTAAATGCCACTGAATATCTTATCGCGGAAACATCATTCATCTGCGGCGGCAGCATTCAGATCCACCAGTGTTTTTCGGTGTAACCCGTCGCTTTCGCTGCCAACGAGTTCTCCCCGAATTCAAAATCGGTCATCGAGATCTGCAGCCGCGGAGAAGCATGATATTCGCTTAAAAGTCTGTTAGATTGCCATCAATGCAGATTTCGGAAACGTAACGGCAGAAGTTGTAGGGAATGATTGTAGAGATAGAGGATAGAGGTGGATATAAGCGAATATAAAACAGACAGAGACAGGAAAGGAGTGGAGAAAAAGAGATGCTGAGAAAGCAGGGAT